CGAGGCCCTGGGCGACGACGACGAGGACGAGGAGGCCGAGGACGAGCGACGGCGAGCGAGCATGGGAGCGAAAAGCAAGCGACTCCCCGAGCTCTTGAGCACAGCCGCGCGAGAGAGTGAGAAGGCTGCGGGGCCACAGGGGCTGGGGGTGGAGCGCGGGCGCTGGGCCAAGCAAGAGACCAGGAAGCAGAGGTAAATTGCCAGGGGCCAGTGCCGCAGCGAGAGCGGCGAGGACGAACGAACTGAACGACAGCAAACGAAAATCAATCAAAGGCACGGAGCTGCGGAGAACAGTTGTGGAACATTAGCCGCTGGGTCTCGTCCATCTCCCTCATTCATCGCTTCACCTCGTAAGTCCAAGCCGAACCTGTTTGCCCAACCAGGTGCCTGGCCACCTGCACACACTGCTGCCTACGGATGGAGTTTCTGACAGGCACATACGGCCTGTACAAGCTCCGGGATGAAACGCCGATGGGCGAAGAGTCATAACATCCAGCATGGACAAGACCTGCGCAAATGGAATACGAGGCAGGAGTGGCAACGAGAATACGACAGGGAAAACAACCCGATTGCTCGTCCGTGCGCGCGGATGGACCGCACATCGCCGGCAGACAGTATGAAGCTCACCCCGCGAGCATCGGCCAGAGCGGACGCACACTTGCACCACATAGCTTGCACGCCATAGATTGCACCACACATCTTCTCATGTCTCAACAGAGAATAGACTCTAAAGACTAGCCTTCTCCCAAGCCCCCCAGAACTTAACGGCCCGTCTCGGGCACTGCGAATTACACATGATTCTGCCTCACCGCTCATTTTGCAGATGCACTCAGACCATCCCAAGCAGTCCCTGTAAGACCTCCTCCCTCACCCCTCTCAGAGAAATGTATCCGCGCACACTCGTTTCACGCAAACAAACACATGTTTCAAGAACCCCGTGCAAAGCAATTGACGAAGTCCACACGCGCACGCACGTGTCGACACCATACCACGCATACCCAGTGTCGCATGGTGTCTTATCTTTAAATTGCGTGATGCATGCTCACTGTTGCAAATTCACTGCCCGCACGCACTTGCTGAAACCGTGTGGAAAATATATGATGTTAACAATATCGCAACAGAACCGCAGCTTCATCTCACCACGCGGAGCATCCGCGCTGATCCACCAGACGCCCAGTACACGAATCCCCTATCAAATAACGCACGCCGCCACGCTAGATTGCCGAAAACTGTACATAATCATTGGTTTCCGAAGCCTTCATAATGGAGCTGCCCCAAAACGTACGAAATGCACTAATGCTTTTCGACCAAAGCCTTACCAGCGTTCCTGGATTTCCGCGCACGCACACGTCTTCACCATGACCCGCGTCAGCCCCGCCGCATCACGTCATCGTCATCGTCATCGACAATCGCTGCCATTGCTGCCATCATAATCCAAGCACCTTCAGCACCGACACGTGGACATCATCATCGCCGTCGGCGTTGCCAGCATCGGTGCCGTGATTGCCCTTGCCGTCGTCATCGCCGTCCTCGCCACCACCTGGACTACTATCGTCATCGCTGCCGCCGTTGCCGACGTCGTGATGATACCGCGCCCGCCCGAGCCACCGACCCGCATCGAACTGCCCGCGCGCCAGCGCGGCCTTCGACCCGCGCCGGGAAGCTCCCACCTGTAAGCGCCATCGGGCCGCATCTGCATGGCCAGCTACTGTACACCACCACTGCCTGCAGACATCAACACTCGCAACAATCAGCGCAGTTTTCTGGCTGCGCCGGGCGGCGCCACGCCTCTCCGCGGCGAGCAGGAGTGCAGCGCGGCGGACGGCGCCATGGGAGAGGAATGCCCGGAACAGAGACCGCAACTCGGAAATTGTGGTGTATGAAATACGGGTCCCTTTGCAACCGAAAATTTGACGGTGGCCCCGACATCCTCGTCGACGGTGGTTCACTGTCTAGGAACAATGAACCTAAGTTCGTGATGTTCGAATGATACCCCCATTGGATTATTGGCCTGTGGATGGATCGGTGGCCCCCCCCTCTCCCCGGAACATTTCCATTCCGGAATAATGCATCTGGGGTCGATATTCCGACATAATGAACCAGGGTTGCCCCCACCCCAATCTCCTTCTCAGGCGCCCCCCCCTTCGCCGCATCAATATCATTCCAGAATAGCAAACCTGAGTTCATTATTCCCAGAACACTACGAACCCCAGTTTATGATGTTCCAGAGATAGCGGGCTAGGGTCAATATTCTAACATAAGGAATCCCAGTTTGGAGGCGCGGGGTTGGGAGAAAATAAAAATGATAATCATTCCAGAATCATGAATCCGGATTCAGAATATCCGCCTATGGCTCAGGCGACGCCCCTCAGCCTTCATTATCATCATTCCAAAATGGGAAACCAGGTTTCGTCATTCCCGAGACATTAATGATCCCAGTCGGTATCCCCAGAAAATTATGAACCCAAGATAATATATTTTTGGGGTCGATGTGCCCGGAACATTATAAGCCAAGGTTGATAACGTCCCAAGGGGAACATTATGAACCCCAATCAATATGTCCCGGAACATTAAAACCCAGGTTCATAGCGTTCCGGGGGGGACATGATGAACCCTGGTGAATGATCCCAGAATATTAAAAACCCAGGTTAATATCTTTCAAGGTTCGTCCTGGAAAATTTATGCAGCACCACCGCGCTTGCTTTGATGAACCACGTTCTGGCCCCCGGGCGCGAGGGGGGGGCGGTCGTCGTTGGCGGCGGGGTCGCGACAGCGATTGTCCACAAGAGTCAAACTGCGCCACAACGGATCGCGCGTTTTCGTTCCGATCTTGGCGGTGGTGGTCATCCACAGTGCTCGGAGCATCGGCTGTGGCAAACCAGCTGGTCGCTCTGCAAGCGAGCTTGCGCGCGCCAGCGCGGCCGCAGAGATGGCCCCAGAGGGTAGGCGTGTGGTGTTCCACAGTGTTCGTCCACGCAGGCGATCGTCAGGGCACAAGCTCCTTGCTACGGTCTTGTACCATTCCAGCTTTGCTCAAGCAGTCCCTGCTATCGCCGCCGCATGGGTCGACATCGCCTGATGAGGTGTTGCAAGTCAAGTCACGAGTGGGTGGGTGGGCGGGATGTTTGCACAAGCATGGGAGGTGGTCACGCGCGGTGCAGGGCTGTCAATTACAATACATAGTTTGCACCACATGTATAGCACCATGCAGTGTGTACCACATGGCTTACACCACATTGCATCAGCCACACTGCTTGCACCACGTAGATTGAACCACATTGCTTCCACGACATAGCTAGCACTTCCACAATGCACGGACTTACTGCCCATGGTCCATCCAGGAAAACTTGTCTACGCAGTTGTGATTGTTCTATGTATCGGCATCGGCATGTCTTTGCCATGAAGAACAACTGACCTTAGGGTATAGGGTCCTGGTCTACAGGGCATTCCCACGAGACGTCGTTCCTCGGCTTCATACCACGATCTGGCTGTCCTGATGCCTGTCCATCTAGCCTGACTGTCGTTGGGAGCCCGAAGGCACCGAAAGACCTACAGGACCCGTTTACTCCGAACACATCTACAACTACACGCAGCAAAACTGCACCTTGCCGCGGGGACCAGGGGTGGCAATCATAATTGGATGTGACGCGTCGGTCGGTCTGGGATCCTTCCTTCCAGCATGGTCGGAGGTCTGCGCGGATCTCTTGGATCTGCGATGGAGGTGCCGCCAGCAGGGGCCCAGCGCCGATCCACGACCCCACTTGTTTCCCCGGGCGGGTTTCGGACGCCCAGGCCCCGATCAGCGACGAGTGGGCGTCTGGGGGTCGTTGCTTCCCCCCGGAGCTCATCCCCCCCTGGCGTGGCATGAAGCAGGCGGGTCCTCAGAGAAACGGGTCCTGGATCCCAGGGCCTTCCCCCAAGGCCACACTTCTGTTGAGCAGGGCTGGGGTTCAAGGTCTGCAGCACACCCCAGACGGACGTCAAGGGGCGCAACCAATATGTTCGGTCAGGCTGACACTGATGCACCACGCCCGGCGTCGAGCCAAAACTTTGGACACGAGCGAACGGTTGGGCTTTGCACATCTTCGCCGGCGTAACCGGCAAAGGAAAAGGCGCTCTCTCTGACCCTCGGCCCTATTAAACATACATTCCCGTCCCGAGCCGTTTTCGAGCACCACCAGGGCGGCCCGAAGCGTCGCAGAGCCGTGGGGCTCGTTGCCTCGAGGCCCCGTTTCTGCACGGCGGCCTGTCGCTGCCCCCGTAGGCGAAGGGGCCCTGGAAAAAACACACATAGATGGGCACAGCAGATCCCAGGAGTCCCCGTGTGTGTCCATACTTGGTGGGTTCTCGTCTTCCCCCCCACGTCCCGTATTTTCCCATATTTTCCTGGGGATCGACGATTCATTGCTTCTGTGTATGCGGTTGTTTCCCCTCCTGAGTAAGACCCGCTTCCTTCACGCCTGAAGGGGAAGGGGGAAGGCTTCTTAGAAGGAGGCTGCTTCTTAGAAGGCGCTGGCCCCACGTCTATATTTATAGACTGGGCTTGGGGCCTAGAGTCGGGAGACGTAAGACTCGGGCTCGGGGGACTCGGGTTGGCCTGACGGGGCCCATCATGAATATGACGAGACCCAACCTGAAACTTGACGCGAGCTCCCGCTGCGGACATCCCACGAAAACTGAAGCCTCCAAATCCAGGACACACTCGTCAAACAACGTCGCAAACCCGAGTCCCGGCGTATCTCCCCGATAGAGCTAGGTCGGGCATGTCCTCCTGCAGGCGGATGTTGGGAGAAACATAAAAGACTGACAAAAAAACATATGTTCAAAAGCAAGCGAAAGAAAGATGCTAGAGAAGGATCGTCCCCTGACCATTTCCTTCGCTGTCCCTCCTGTAGAGGAGTATTCAAGGGGCCCTGGGACACACAAAGAAACACACACACACACACATAAAAAAAATATCCCCCATGTGTTCCCATATGTTCTGGGTTTTTTGTCTTCCCCTCCCACTTCCCATAGTTCCCCATATGTTCTGGGTGGTTGTCTTCCCCCCCCCACTGCCCATAGTTTCCCACATCTTCTGGGGCATCGACGACTCACTGTGGCTCTGTGTGTTTTTTCCCCTCCTCATCCTCTCCCCCCTTGAATTGGCAGTGGACAAACCTCCCTTTAGTAGACCTCCCTTTAGTGGAAACGGCCTGGGACCGAAACCGACGGACCCGAACCCGCAAAAAACGACGGCCGCGACGCCCTCTCGCGCACCCGAAGACGGCCCACTCCTGACTCGACGTGTCGGGGTAGGAGGTGTGCTGCTTTCCCCTCCCGAAGCATGCCCGACCTGACGTCGGAGAGGAGGCGCGGAGCAAACGCGGCGAGGCCCCGCCGTGCCCGTGCGGCCGAGGCGCGGGGCCCCGCGGGCGCCGCTCACGGGGCCTCCGCCGCGCCGCCGCAGGCGGTGCCCTCGGGGGGCGGGCGGCGGCCGGCGGTGGCGCGGAGGGGCCGGGCCCCGGGGGCGGTCCGCACTGTGCACCCCGGAGAGGCAGTGCAGATGTGCATCTGCAAAGGTAGAAAACAGTCTTACGTACTCAGATATACATATATATATATGTGTATATATATGTGTATATATACATACCTATGTTGCACAAACATACATACATACATACATACATACATACATACATATATACATACATACATACATACATACATACATACGTACATGCATGCATGCATGCATGCATCCATACATACATACATACATACATACACACCCATACATAAATACATGCATGCATACATACACACATACATACATGCATACATGCATGCATGCATGCATGCATACATACACACACATACATAAATGCATACATTCATACATTCATACATTCATATATATATACATACATACATACATACATGTATATATACATACATACATACATACATACATACATACATACATACATACATGCATGCATGCATGCATACATACATACATACATACACACATACATACATGCATACATGCATACATGCATACATGCATGCATGCATACATGCATATGTGCATGCATGCATGCATAGATGCATACAGTCATACATGATTGCATACATACATACATATATACATACATACATGCATACATGCATACATACATACATACAGACAGACAGACAGACAGACAGACAGACAGACAGACAGACAGACAGACAGACAGACATACACACATATATACATACATACACGCATGCATGCATACATACATGCATATATGCATGCATACATGCATACATACATACATTCATAGATGCATGCATACATGCATGCATGCATGCGTGCGTGCGTGCATGCATGCATACATACATCCATGCATACATGCATGCGTACATACATACATACGTACGCGCATACATACATGCATACAGACATGCATGCATGCATGCATACATGCATACATACATACGCACAAACATGCATACATACATACATGTATCCATGCATGCATGCATGCATGCATGCATACGGACAGACAGACAGACAGACATATCTCGAAGGAAGAAATAAATACACAAAACTGAACGACGAAAAGAAACGGGTCTTGCGCGAGATGGCATGGAGCACGCGGAGGCCTACGCGGGCCGCCAGCGCGGCACGCCACGTTGGAAACGAGGGCGCTCACGCGCGACCTCACGCGGGAAACATTATGCGCCGGTGCTGGCGCAGACAAACCCGTTTTTCTGCATCGCCCATGTGTACGAAAGGTTCAACGTATATATGTTGTTGATTCCCAACCATCCTGTGGTGTTGGGACATTGTTTTGAAGAGACAGCACCCCGCATTCCTTCCGTCCTTCCTTCCCGCTGCCCCCATCCGTCCTCCCGTCGTCGTCGTCATCATCATCATCAACGTCATCATCAACATCATCATCAACATCATCATCAACATCATCATCGTCAACATCATCGTCTTGCTGTCTTTCCCAACTCAACCATCCTGTGGTGCTGGGTCCTCGTTTTAAGGAGACAGCGCCCCGCGTCACCTCACCTCACCTCACCTCACCTCACCTCACCTCCCGTTGCCCTTTTCTCCCTCCCCGCTGCTCCCTCCCCCCTCCTCCCCCTCCTTGACTCTGCGCCAACGGCACTCATTTAGGCACATCCCTCACGGTTCGTGGCCCCACAGGGAGCCCCACCGAAGGCTCCAGTGGCAGGGTCCGCATGCGGGGACCGCCACCCATTGTGGCACACCCATCGCACGGTTCGTGGCCCCACAGGGAGCTCCACCGAAGACCCCAGCGGCAAGGTCCACATGCGGGGACCGCCAACCATTTTGGCACACCCCTCACGCAGTTCGTGGCCCCACAGGGAGCTCCACCGAAGGTCCCAGTGGCACAGGCCGCATGCGGGGACCGCCACCAATTTCGGCACACCCCTCACACGGTTCGTGGCCCCATAGGGAGCTCCACCGACGGCATCAGTGGCAGGGTCTGCACGCGGGGACCGCCACCCATTTTGGCACACCCCGCACACGGCTCGTGGCCCAACAGGGAGCTCCACCGAAGGTCCCAAAGGCACAGGCCGCATGCGGGGACCGCCATCCATTTTGGCACACCCCACACGGTTCGTGGCCCCACAGGGAGCTCCACCGAAGGCTCCAGAGGCAGGGTCCGCATGCGGGGACCGTCACTCATTTCGGCACACACCTCACACGGTTCGTGGCCCCACAGGGAGCTCCACCGAAGGCTCCAGTGGCAGGGTCCGTATGCGGGGACCGCCACCCATGTCGGCGTACCCCTCACACGGTTCGTGGCTCCACAGGGAGCTCGACCGAAGGCGCCAGTGGCAGGGTCCGCATGCGGGGACCGCCACCCATTCTGGTACACCCCTCACACTGTCCGTGGCCCAACAGGCAGCTCAACCGAAGGCCTCAGTGGCAGCGTCCGCATGCGGGGACCGCCACCCATTTTGGCACACCCAACACGGTTCGTGGCCCCACAAGAAGCTCCTCCGAAGGCTCCAGTGGCACAGGCCGCATGTGTCAACGCCACACATGCCGGCACACCCCTCACAAGGAGCTCCGCCGAAGGTTCGTGGCCCCACAAGGAGCTCCGCCGAAGGCTTCAGCGGCAAAGGCCGCATGCGTCAACGCCACCCATTTCGGCGCACCCCTCACGCGCTTCGTGGCCCCACAGGGAGCTCCACCGAAGGCCCCAGTGGCATAGGCCGCATGCGCCCGACGCGGCCCCATAGGGAGCTCCACCGAAGGCCGCAGCGTCCGCATGCGTCAACGCCACCCATTTAGGCGCACCCCTCACACTGGCTCGTGGCCCCACAGGGAGCTCCACCGAAGGTTCCGGTGGCACAGGCCGCATGCGTCAACGCCACCCAGGACAGCGCGTCGTGGCCCCATAGGGAGCTCCACCGAAGGCTCCAGTGGCACAGGCCGCATGCGTCAACGCCACCCCGGACCGCGCTTCGTGGCTTTATAGGGAGCAACACCGAAGGCTCCAGGTGGCACAGGCCGCATGCGCCAACGCCACCCAGGACAGCGCTTCGTGGCCCCATAGGGAGCTCCACCGAAGGCTCCAGTGGCACAGCCCGCATGCGTAAACGCCACCCAGGACAGCACTTCGCGGTCCCATAGGAAGCTCCACCGAAGGCTCCAGTGGCACAGGCCGCATGCGTCAACGCCACACAGGACAGCGCCTCGTGGCCCCACAGGGAGCTCCACCGGAGGCTCCACTGGCACAGGCCGCATGCGTCAACGCCACCCAGGACAGCGCTTCATGGCCCCACAGAGAGCGCCACCGAAGGCTCGAGTGGCACAGGCCGCATGCGTCAACGCCACCCAGGACAGCGTTTAGTGGCCCCACAGGGAGCTCCACCGAAGGCTCCAGTGGCACATGCCGCATGCGTCAACGCCACTCAGGACAGCGCTTCGTGGCCCCACAAGGAGCTCCACCGAAGGCTCCAGTAGCACAGGCCGCATGCGTCAACGCCACCCAGGACGGCGCCTCGTGGCCCCACAGGGAGCGCCACCGAAGGCTCGAGTGGCACAGGCCGCATGCGTCAACGCCACCCAGGACAGCGTTTAGTGGCCCCACAGGGAGCTCCACCGAAGGCTCCAGTGGCACAGGCCGCATGCGTTAACGCCACTCAGGACAGCGCTTCGTGGCCCCACAGGGAGCTCCACCGAAGGCTCCAGTAGCACAGGCCGCATGCGTCAACGCCACCCAGGACAGCGCCTCGTGGCCCCACAGGGAGCGCCACCGGAGGCTCCGGTGGCACAGGCCGCATGCGTCAACGCCACACAGGACAGCGCTTCGTGGCCCCACAGGGAGCGCCACCGAAGGCTCCAGTGGCACAGGCCGCATGCGTCAACGCCACACAGGACAGCGCTTCGTGGCCCCACAGGGAGCTCTGCGGGAGGCTCCAGTGGCACAGGCCGCATGCGTCAACGCCACCCAGGACAGCGCTTCGTGGCCCCATAGGGAGCTCCACCGAAGGCTCCAGTGGCACAGGCCGCATGCGTCAACGCCACCCAGGACAGCGTTTAGTGGCCCCACAGGGAGCTCCACGGGAGGCTCCAGTGGCACAGGCCGCATGCGTGTGGCCCCATAGGGAGTTCCACCGAAGGCTCCAGTGGCACAGGCCGCATGCGTCAACGACACCCAGAACAGCGTTTCGTGGCCCGATAGGAAGTTCCACCGAAAGCTCCAGTGGCACAGGCCGCATGCGTCAACAGCGTTTCGCGGCAGCTCCACCGAAAACGGTACCCACAGCGCTGCACTCGCAACTGCATATGGTTGGGTCCTTCGTCAGGCTAATCCCACCAGCCCTCTGGGCGCAGGTGGTCTAGAGCGTTTCCTTTTCCAACCTCCTGCCGTTCCCTGCTCGGGAGGTTTACCTCCCCCCCCACTCCCTGCGTCTGGACGGGCTCCCCCGCGATGTGGCAGAGAGTCCTTTTTGGTCCAAGATGGCTCCGAGAGGGCTTCAGAGAGCGCAAGATGGCCTCCAAGATGGTCGAAGATAGCGGTAGATGGGTCAAGATAGCGCCCGACGCACGTCCAAGAGGCAAGACGGTTTCAAATGCCCTCCGAGGCCTCCAAGGACCCCCCCAAGAGGCCCCCAAAAAACCGAAGGAAAATCAGAAACCTAAGGAAAACCCTTCAAACAACTAAGGAAAATCAATGTGCTTTGCCTTCTCGCTTTTTCCCCGCCGATGGGCTCTTGAGGCCTCAAGATGGCCCCAAGACGGCCCAAGATAGCCCCAGTAGGGGTCCAAAAGGGTCCCAAGACGGTCCAAAGAGCGCCAAAGAGCGCTCCAAGAGCGGCCCAGGAGGGCCCCAGGACGGCACTTGTGAGCCTGGGAGCGTCCGAATTAAGGGCCCCTCCTCTTTTAAAGCGAAAGGGTCCAAGACGGCCCCAAGAGGCCCCTCAGGCATCCCAAAAGAGCCCCAGGAAGGCCCCCA